GCTGTGAATTGTTCAGGTGCCTTTAGGAGCCGGCATCGCTCTGGCCTGCCAGTACCAAGGCAACAACCAGGTGTGTGTCACACTCTACGGAGACGGAGCTGCCAATCAGGTAAATGTAACGCCAAGTTCTCAAAAACACCTTTTTACATCGATATGAAGACGTTCGCTCAACCATTACCTTCTCCCGTCCTCTCTGATCCAATCAGGGCCAGCTGTTCGAGGCGTTCAACATGGCTGCCCTGTGGAAGCTGCCGTGCATCTTCATCTGCGAGAACAACCAGTACGGTATGGGGACGTCGATGGAGAGGGCTTCAGCCCAGCACCGGACTCTACAAGAGGGGAGACTTTGTACCGGGAATCAGAGTGAGACACAGTCACAAATGAAACATTTTTTGACCTGTTTGTGATGTCGATGTTAACCTCAGACTTTGTTACACATCGGGTGTCTTGGGCGGTAGCTGCAGTGTGTCTGATGGCTGTACGCTGCAGCTGGCCTGTATGGACCTAGACTATAACAGGAGGACTGACAGTCCGTCCTGGCAGTTGCAGGTGTGAGCATCCATACAGCTGTCTGACGCTCATGTATGATACTGCACACAAACAGCTGAGGATCAATGAGTTATCCCTTTTTTTTAAATGATTGTTGTTTTGTTTAAGCTACATCAACATCTGGAGCAGCTGTTTGTTTCTTGTGAAGCTTAATGCCGACTGTGTTAATGTTGCTGCTGTTTCTCTGTGTTTCTTGCGTCGTAGGTGGATGGGATGGACGTCCTGTGTGTCAGAGAGGCCACAAAGTTTGCTGCAGACCACTGCAGGTCTGGGAAGGTGAGCTGAGCTGCTCTGTGTGAAGAGAGAAAAAAGATAAAATCAGAAATGCAATAAATTGGTGGAGAGTTTGACTGACTCAGTTTCTCAAATCTGCTCCGTGAGTCATGTTTTAGTCTACCTCATGTTGTTAATGCCTTTATTGGTCTGTGACGATGTGAAGTCCTGCTCATAGTTCAGTTACAAGATCAAGATCCAGTTAACCAAAAACCTGGGTTTCTTGGTGAACTTTTCTCTCTAGTTGGGACAACTTGTATCACACATTCTCCAATCTTTTGAGTTTAACTGCTGTTCTCAGCACTTATTATTGGGTGTTTTAAATAATTCAGCACATAAAGCTTTTGTACCACTGCACTGGATAAGAGTGTAAAGCACAAGCTTGAAATATAAAGATCTAATTCTGAGGGAATAAGCAGATTCTTGAGCGTCCACAGCCGTTTGAATGAACTGTGTGTTTCAGGGTCCCATTATAATGGAGCTGCAGACCTACCGTTACCATGGACACAGCATGAGTGACCCAGGCGTCAGGTGAGTAACGTTTTTACACTGTGACCTCCTGTAGCTCCTAGACCTGGTTAAGTTGTTCTAACTCTTGATGTAACTTCCTGTAGCTACCGCACTCGGGAGGAGATTCAGGAAGTGCGCAGCAAGAGCGACCCCATCTCCATGCTGAAGGAGCGCATGCTCAGCAACAACATGGCGTCGATAGAGGAGTTCAAGGTGAGCGCACACGACGCACACCGCCTCTACAGTCCACACGACAACCTGCAGTGAGTTTTCATGACGTGGATTCGTAGGTTTCCTGGCAGAGAGGAAGTGGAAGTCTGCAGGTGTTACATTTGACCGCAAAGAGTTTAATTTTGATCATTTTTAACGTCACTTTGTACGATTAAAGCCTGAAAGCTCAACTATCTAGGTCACCACTAAAACTGAGCCTCGAGTTTTAGCTGACGCTGGTGGAAACTGTAACGCTCGTCTGGTCTGAAAGCCCCATCAGAGGTTCTTCAGTGAAGGTGGAGGAGGTAGAGAGTCAAACCTGACCTAAATGGAAACGCTGCACCACAGAGGCACCTACACATTTAAATATACTCTTTATATCTGAGCTCTTATCGTTTCTCTTTCAACCCGCCGTGTCTCAAAGGCGTATAAGCAGCATTAAAGGTCCAGTGTGTAACATTTAGGAATATCTATAGCTTCTGTGTATTCATTTATAATGTGATCTACAAGTACAGCGCCCTTTATTCTTACAACCTTCATTTGGATAAAGGAGACCTCAGTTCTCAGCACTTGATGGGATTTTGAGCTTAAACAATATCACTTTGTTGTGGAGCTTTAGAGATTAACGTGCTTCCTCTCTGTCCTGTCAGGAAATCGACGTGGCGATCCGTAAGGAGGTGGAGGACGCCGCCCAGTTTGCGACGTCCGATCCAGAGCCGCCGCTGGAGGAGCTGTGCAACCACATCTTCCACAACAACCCGCCCCTGGAGGTCCGCGGGACCAACCCCTGGGTGGTGCTCAAGTCCGTTAGCTAGACTCACACACTCCTAATACAGATACACACCGACCTTCGTCAAAAGTAGAGTCCTTCAACCTCACTGACACCCTCACTTTTGAAAGAAATACCCCAAAAGCAGCTTCTTCTTTCGAGTTTTAGATCATTCCAGCACCTTAATGGGACTCAACCTGCAACCTGTCAGTGTAATTTATTTTATAGTTTTATATAGAAGTATTTTAAGATTTCTTCTTTGTTCTGCTGCACATCTGACCAGTCTGTGGGTGTAGTTGTCGTCCAGCCACTGTGTGCAGCTGCCGTTTGATAATGAGATGTGAAGCCTGTAGTTAACAGGTTTTAAAATGTTGCAGGGTTGAACTGTATACGCACAAAACGTAGGGTTCCTTTCCCTCGTAGGACACATCTGTTACAACTTCCTCTGCTTTTTAGTTGCATTATTTTTACAGTTTGAAACACTTTTTTCCTCCAAAAATCCATCTGTGAAAGTCAGACAGTTTAAATTATTTTAAAGAGACGGCAGGAACAGATTCAGTGTATTTGGTGTCAGAAAGCTCGATATAGGTGATATGTGTTTTTTTTGAAGCAGTGGTGGAAAGTACATTTACTCAAGTACAATTGAGTAATTCTATTTTATTCTACTTTATACTTTCGGAGGGAAGTATTGTACTTTTTACTCCACATTTATTTGATTTTAAATTATTTATTTATTACAGATTGACACTATTAATACAAAATATTCACGATAAACATTATGCATTAAGCTTCAGTTACCATCTGAAACATTAAAGTGATGATTATAATCCAATAATATTATGGTTAAAGTCCATATTGATGCTTATCGCCTACTACAAGGAGTTTCTAACTGTTTATGTAGGTCCTACAGAGGCGTCGGTATTAAACTGTTTCATAACCAAACAGCAGAGAGCAGATTGGCTGTTTCTATGTAGTTATTAATGTGATTGTGTGTTCTTAACCGGGTCAAATTCCCCTTGAAATCAATGAAATGAGGTGGCAGAAACACTACCACCTTTGTCCACAGGGGGCACCAGAATCAACATAAAATAAAAGCTCCTTTATTGCCATTTTAAGTTAAAGATCTGAGTACTTCCACCACTGGTTACATGTATGTTTGAGCTGCAGGAATTTACCTTATGAGGATTATGTATAAGATTTAAGTGTCAGAAATTATTTATACAGTGAATTAAAGCTCTAAAGTAAATATTTAACATCCAGTTTTAACCAGAGTGACTTCCAGGAATGTTTCTCACCTGCTCATCCCGACATTTACCAGCTGCTTCACCTTTCCATCGCCTACACTGGAGCACTTTACCTGTCCAGATAATCTCTACCTACCTGACTGTGCACACTAGAACATTTCTCCTCCTCTGCTGTTGGATGGATGCACTACAATATGTTATTAACAGAACACTTAATTATGTAAAGACGCATTTAAAATCTGGAGCTACAGTAGCACTGACTGGATTTTTCCTCCTTTACATACCTTTCTATGTTTACTGTCACTGAGCCTGAAGTTGTACAGATATATAAAGCTTTACTTCCCTCTGTGTGTGTGTGTGTGTTGAACTGAGAGACTAAAAATAAATACATATAGAAAGCAGCAAGATGAATACTGTGTTTGTGTTTTTATGATTAAGATCAAATAACCACTGAAAATATCTAATTCATTATCAGATAATTAACCTGTTTCTTCCTCTGTGGAGGAAGTACATTCATTAAAGTAAATTATTTTGTCTTCATGCTAATGTTTAGTTACATGTACAGTCGTCAAACTGAAGATTTGCTGCTTTTTCTTTTGAATTATATTAATTTACATGTAATAATTTTGAGGTTTGGACAGAAACAGGCTTTATGAAGACGTCACTTTGGATTCTGGGTAATTCTGATGACATTTCTCAGCATTTTTAGAGTTTTTACAAACCGTACAATCAGTGGATTCATGGAGAAAATGATCAGTTACAGACTTTAAATGAGCTCCACTTAAACCAACTACAGCAGAGAAATCCTGCTTTTACACAAATGAATGAGTCAGAATAATCTAATAATATATATAATAGTACAACAGACATTATCCTGATGATACTGACATACTCTTAATTAACATTCTCAATGAAGTTGTATTTTTAGTGTGATATTAGATTTCTGACCACTAGATGTCACTACCAGGTTGTAAAATCCACTTGTGTTATTTGTTGACAGTCATGGCAACCAAACAGTGTGTTGAGTTGTCACTGTAATATTTTATACTTGCAAAACCTGCAAGAACACACAGTGAATTATGGTTTGTAATCATTAATTTGTATGGCACTCAAAACCAAGCTGAGCCTCACTCACACCACAGCAATAAAATAACAGAGATAACTTGTGCAAACAAAAAAAAACGGTGGAAGAAACACTGAGGCACTTATTTAAAAGTCAGTCCTGCAGTTAGAACTTTAAACTGTGTTTTTATATGTAAAATCTTAATCTGTAAAGTAACTGCTGACTCATTTTTCTCCGAAATATACAGTAGTTACAGTACTTGAGACAGTTTATTACATATTCCAATATCAATACTTAAACATAGTTTTTAGTAGAGATCAAAAAAATACTACTATAGTCTAAAGTTATTACAAAAACATTAAAATTATCAAAATATTTCAAAATAAAAGCAGCAAATCTTCATTTTGAACAATCAAATGTTTTTTTAACAAGAAAAATGACTTAAAATAGTTTCAAATTAAGTTTTAATCGACTAATCTAGACACTGACGTAAAGTTTCTGATGTTTAAAATGTAGTTTAATTTACAAGTTCTTCATATGTTTTGTGTGGAAATGTAAAGTAAAGCTGTCAGATAACAGTAAAGAGTAGAAATATGAAGGCCACAATACTTGAGTAAATGTACTTAGTTACTTTCCACCACTGCTGTGTCGAGTACACACATTATGTACTCAGAGTATAAAACTTAAAGATTATTCTCTTGTTTCTTCTGCGCAATGACGCAAACGTTACGTGTTCAGGATATTTTAAAGAAAGTAGGCTAATTGTAATCCATTACAGTTAGAGGAAAAACAAACACAATCAGATTACAGTTGAATAAACAATGGTGATTAGTTAACAGATTACAAGTTAAAAATACATTAGAGTGTCTTTAAAATACTAATAATTGTTCTGTTTTATAGGTTACACTCAGATCGATACTTATTATTGATATGTATTGACTTTATTTGCATATTTAGTGTTGAGGTAATCTAAAAGTGATCAGTAATAGTACTGGATTACATTTTTAAACTGATAATTCCCTTTAAATGCGTTAAAACTAAAGTAACGAGCCTGTTTATGAAAGTATAAAGTAAAGATATTTGTGTAAAAATGTAGAAAGT